CGACTCAAGCCAGACAGTACGCAGGGCTACGGAGCTGACCAGCTGCATTGGAAGTTTTCTCGTGGAGAGCTGGTGCGGATCCGCAACGAGAGAGCGAGCGTGTGTCTCGACGGTAGCGTGGCTTGGCAACTGCGAGACACGACGACGGGGCTCAATAGCGTTGCGTATGATCCCACCACCCCGACCATCACGCTGTCTACGGCGCTTACTGGGAACCTGCTCACGGCAATTGTCGCGGGCACGCAGATCTCGGTTGGAGCCGCTGCTAACGGACCCTCGCACCCTGCCGCCTGCCACGCAGTGGTGACCAAAGTGCACGCAGACAAGCTGAATCTGGACATCGCGCACTCATGCCTCAATCCAGGCACCAAGCTAGGCAGCAGACTCGCAGTCTTCGTGGTCAAGGGGGTGGCGGCTATCACCAGCACTGCATTCGATGCCAATACCAACACCATCACGCTGTCTGCACCGCTTGCCAACCGCCTGGTTGATGTGGTCGTCACAGACACCCAAATCTCGGTCGGCAGCACGCCGGAAGACGCTGGTTCCTGCCGTGCCAAGGTGAACGCAGCGACGACTACGACGCTGCAGCTGATGACCCCCCTCTGCGCCGAAGCGGCAGCCAAGCTCAATGCTGGTAAACCCATTTACCTGCACCGCGGACCAGCGCTGCTTCCGCTATGCGAGCCCAATGATCCTTGGACTCCGCTCAGCGCGTCAAGCATCGCAGCTTTGGTCGCTAGGCTGGATGCATCTGGAGGTCGCGAGCCTTTGCCGCTCTTCCGCAGTGATTCGGCTGTGAGTGTCGCGACGGAGCTTGGCACCGTTGGGAACAGCGCAGAGGTGACGCTCGTGACTCCGATGACTATTAGCTGTGGAGACTACGTCCGACTAGGCCGCGTCTCGAGCGCTGATGGAGTTGGCGATGAAGAGCTCGAGGCGCTCGCTACCTTCCGCGTGCGAGGCAAGTGTGGTTCCAGCAGTTGTGACTGTGTGCGGGCTTCTGCTACTTCGCGGTTGCAGCTCGGAAGTCTTGCTGACCCTACCATCGCTGTCAGCCTATCTCCGAGACTAGATCTACTGCACGGAGGCGCTACCCGCGAGATCCAGCGCATTGTATTGACCGTGACGGGGGCTACTGTCGCGTACAACGTCGGCGGCTTCCGCATCCAATTCGGGGACGAAGTGAGCTCGCTGACGCTTGGTACAGGCGGGGACGGCGGAGCTTCGCTCAACGACGACGTCGGCTGCCTCGTGTGGGCGTCAGGTCCGTTGTCAAGCGATGCCTCTCGGGACATGCTGACGCTCGAGCGTGAGCTCGAGAACTTTGCTGCAATCGATGACGTCCGCGTCAAGCAGACGCTTACCGTGACTGCTGGCGTCCGAGTGACTGTCGAGTACACGGTGGAGTTCATGGGCGTGCAAGTGCGCGGCAAGATGCCCAGACTTCAGATTCTGGACGTGGGTACGAACGGCTGCAGCGCGTTCGTCGGCGGTACGGCTAATGCTCAGCCCGTGACGCGGGACCAGGACAGCTTTGTGACTGTGTACCAGGCGCCCACAACACCTCCAATCCCATTCGACGCCAGCGACGAAGACGTCAAAGCTGCGCTCGAGACGTTGAGCGTTGTGAGCAATGCGGACGTGGATCGGCAGGTGAACAAACACGGCTACGACTGGCGCGTGACGTTCGTGGAGTTCCCAGCGCCTTCGAGGCAGATGGAAGCAAGCGTCTTCCCTGCGTTGGCAGTGAATGGCTACGCGTTGCAGGCTGTGCAGTCGCCGCAGGTCAGCGTCACTCCCTTCCAGCGTATCGAGCTTGACACGAAGTCACTCGCGAGTGGAGGTGGAGTGTCGATCTACACGCGCGTGCGCGCCCATAACGCTATTGGATGGGGAGTTGCGTCGATCCCTACGCCCGCATCGCTTCAGCTAGCGGAACAGCCGCCGGACCCTGTGCGACTTGCTCGAGCGGACGTGTTATCAGCGTCGCAGGTGCTTGTGCAATGGGACGCCCCCGCTCACGACGGCGGAGAACCGGTGACCGAGTTCCGCGTCGAGTGGTGGCTGCACACTGCGAGCCCAACCGCTGCCAAGACGTTTGCTGTGGTTCATGCGCTTGAAGCGGCTTCACAAAGCGTGACGGATGATGTTGCTACCATTACCGTATCTGCTCCGACAGTGGGGACGAATACGTACCTGTCTGGCACATTCCGAGTGGGTTTCGACGGCCAGTGGAGTGACGAGCTGCCGTACGACGTATCAACTGTGGACATGCGCACGGCAATCGCTGCGTTGCCAACGATTGAGGACGTTCTTGTGAGCCGCGAGTTGACGGCAGGGGGCTACACTTGGCTCGTGACCTTCTTGCAGCGGAGATACGGCGGCAACCAGCACAAGCGATGGCGATCAGCTCTCGCTACGCAGTCTCCCTTCGGCTACAAGCTCGAGGTTTTGGGAACAAATCTGCTAGCCTGCACGAGCGCAGAGCTGACTACGTGCGTGCCGCACCTCTCGACCACCATCGCAGCGCGTGCTGCTGTGGACTCCATCCCGGAGTTCCAGTCGCTGGTGTGTATCTCGACCGGCAACGCGGCAGTCACAGCTGCCATGACGTTCAAGCTTCAGCTGCTGGGAGCTCAAACCACGGTTATCCCGGGCACAGCGGACGCTAACGCGCTAGCAAGCGCGATCACGGCGCTCGGTGTTGTGGGAAAAGTTAACGTCCGCTTCCGAGACTCAACTCAAGCTACAGTGTGCTCCGCCAGTGCGACCGCAAAGGGTGTTACCATCGAGTTCATCACAGCTCAGGGAGACATTTCCCCGATCACTGTGGTGGCCCCCACCGGCGTTGGAGTCACGATCAAGGAGCAACGCAAGGGTCGAGCTCAGCTACACGTGGGTCGGCTACCATTCGCCTACGTGATCGACGGTCTCTCTGCTGGGACGTATCACGCGCGAGTCGCTGCGTACAACAGCGTCGGCTTCGGCCCGTTCCAGGAAGCCACAGACTCGAGCGGGTTGCTGTTAGTGTCACGTCCTCCCTTGGCGCCGCGGTCCCTCCGCGTGAAGGCAAAGATGATTGATTACTCGCATGGCATGCTGGTGGTTTGGACTGCGCCACGCAGCGCTGACGGCAACACGAACCAGTACCGAGTTGAATGGGACTTTGGTGCTGGGTTTTCGAGTCAATGTGGAGAGAACGTCGAGACGCAGACGGTGGTGGTGAGCAATGCGGCTGCGAATGCTGCCAACAACAAGTTCGCTCTGCTGACGGACAGTGCTGCGAACGGAGGGGCTGCGGTGGGTTGCGTAGCCCCGACGAGCCTGACAAGTACGCTGCTGACTCCGCTTCAAGCGCTCGGTGGAGCGTACACTGGCGCAACCGTTGCGGTGCAAGGCGACGACTCAGCCACGTACGATTACGGCCGAACGTTCACCATGACGTTCCCTCAAACGGTGACGACCCCGGCTGTAGGCTACGACGTTGTCGAGAACCAAGCTGTGGCGACGTCTCCGGTCGGTATCCCCTTGTTGTACTGGAACGCTGGCGACCAAAGCTGCACGGCCACTCCTCCCGATTCAGTAGTGGTCCAGCGCGCAACCTACGGACCGGGACTGGATGGGAAGCGTGGTCAGGGACGTATTGGAGTCGACGCCAACGGATTGGTGACCAGCAACGAGTGCGCGGCCGCGTTGGCAGCTCCAATCGCGAGACAAACGCTGAGCGCCTCGACTGCATTGGCCAACGCGCTCAGCCCCAGCATCCTGAATCTGGCGGCCATGAGCGGCGTGTTCGAGAGCTCCGACCTCGCAAGACCGGCGTTGTGCGAGTCGTGCGCGCAGAAGCTGACAGTCAGCGGAGTGTTGACAGCCACGATGCCGCTGTCATCGGTATTGAGCAGGGGAGACTACTTCGTTGTCGCCGACTCCCCCACGACAAGCACCACGACCTCGACACTTCGCTGCGTCATGAAGGTTGCGAATATCGTGGACGGAGCGTCGAGCAGCACGATCGACGTAGACGCCAACGACCCTGGTCGTGGCGCGTGCTTGCTTCCTGCGACCTATGAGGCCAAGGCCTGGCGTATCTCCAAGTTTGAGCTCCGAGCGCACACGATCCACGACCTGGTACCAGGACGAGAGTACGCCGTGCGGGTCGTCGCTAGCAGCAGCACTTTGGGAGAAGGCCCCGCACTTGCCACAGCCACCACGGTCACCGCAGCATAGAAGGTGATTGATTTCCCTGGTGGTTGTTTTTACGAAGTATTTGTTCTAGTGTTGTGTATTTGCATATTTCTCACAGTAGTATACGATTCTTTATTACTTCAGCTGCTTTCCACTACACCGCCTTCTCCAAAGCAGAACAGTAATTCTATCTCTTAATGAGGATAACCGAGCAACCAAGCGTGGATCAAAAGTGTTTGCTCCTTTCGAAGTATTACGTGCATTATCGGTCTCTAACTCTTGCAAATAAGTATTGCTTAGGTATTCACTTCCTCGTCATCAAGAACTTCGTGCTCGTCAGCGAGCAACGGCACGTCTGCGTTGCTCAAAAATCGATCATCGATTGTGTCGCGGCAACAACGGCAATCGATATACTCGGCCCCTTCTGAAGGTGCGCCAGTATGATGAACTCTGCAATAACGATCCTCGACGGCATTCTCATGCTCCATTCCCCGTCGCCGGGCGAAGAGCAGTGACGCATTTATAGGGACGACGTAATCCGCGACTAGCTCGCGAACGTGTGGCACCTCAAACTGGATCTGGACCTCACCTACATCGAATTCCGGAGCAGAAGGTGCTCCACTATCTTGCTTGGAAGTAGCATCGCTCCTGGTTTCACCACTGCAATGGTGGACAGCGATTGGAGTCTGGTGCAGCATTCGCAGCACAATGGCAACGTTCGCGACCTCCCAGCCGAAGTGGTGCATTACAACAGTTCGCCAAGAAGTCACGTCCACCGCCTCCATCTCACTCTGTGAAGCAGCAAAGGCACATAATACTCCGCGAACAATCATCAGTTCGGCCAAGAGTGTGCTGCACATGGCTACACTCTTCAGACACGAAATGCTCAACACCGGCAGTCTGGAAGAGCTCTTCTGTGACGATTCTTCACCATCCAACGCACTCCATTGATGCCGACGTCGATATCTCCACAGAAATTTGACTGCCTGTCCCCAGTACTTCAGCATCAGCAGTCCCAACGTCGTCCAGATCACCGCCGTGTAGCCAAAAGTCAACCACTGGGGCACCATTAACCCCCGAGCATCTCGCTCTGCCCTTCCAACAGCCACAAGAGTCACCAACGCCACAAGTGACATGCAGTAAGCCACAAATACAGCAGAGAGGATTCCATTATCGCCGCTTGATGTGGCTCCGGGCCACCGTCGTCGGAACACCAGACGCACTGCGAACAGCACAATGTAGCCATTTAGCGCCGCCACAGCGACACTGGGCATGTCGAGCAGCCAGAATGTAGCCACCTTAACCGGGATCTCCATTTTCTCCACGTCCTCCATTGCAGTTAGTGCGAAAAACGCCGCGCGGAGCAGCAGAAGTAGCCATGTTGCTCCGTACAGTGGGCGGTGGAATCCTCGACCCAGATTGAAGCTCCGAGGCTGCAGACGCGCGCGCCGCTCGAGCGCGCGCACTGCGAGCAGCCCCCGTCCTATGGGGACGCAGAGCTGAAGGCAGAGCGCCCCACAGCCCAGTTGCCAGAGCATCAGGAGCGAAGCGAAGAGGGGCGTCGAGGGGACGCGGCGATGAAGTGAAGAGCACTTTTCGAGGAATCGCGATTGATACCTTTGCTCCCATGAAAATGACTTGGCGTTTGTATCTACACCAGCTGTTCACTAAGTTGTATTTTCGCCAATGGTGGTACAGAATGATCGGGACCACTTCAACTTGCCGTTCATTTACAGTTAAAGAGTGTATCGAGCATCGAGAACACTCGATGCTGCCGTTGGAATTGGCCAGAAGCAGTGTTGGAGCTCGTGTCTCGTGTTACCGGGGCGACGGGGCTCAGAATCCCCAAGCTTTGGCCTCCTCTGTTGACTCCGCCCAGACTCATTCTCCAATTGACCAAGTCGAGAGCAACCGAGCAAGCGAGAACCAACCAAGACTGAGAGCGAGATGTTTTCTTCGTGGGATCTGGTGCGCCCGACGCTGTGGCACCCCATGTCGATGCTGGAGCTGTCAATGATGGACACCAACACACTGCCGCAGCTGTCGATGAGCATGCGCAACGTGCCCGGCGTGAGCTCGGACGAAGAGTTTTTCAAGGACCTCCCCACGACGGACCAGCAGCAGCAGCAGAAGAAGAAGAAGGAGGAAAAGGCGGCGGCGGAGGAGGAGAACCAACGCGCCTTCTCGTCCTACTCGTTCAGCAGCTCGTCGGTTGTGGACGAGGAAGGCCGCAAGGTCATGAGTACGCGCCGCCGCTACGAGGACTCGACCGGGCGACTGAAGGCAGAGCACGAGCGGGAGGTGCTCGGCAAGCGTCTAAAGACCATCTGGAACCGCAAGAACGCGCAGGACGATGGCGAACACCACACGATCTGCTCGCAGGGCACGCCCGACGAGTTTGAGAAGCTCTGGAGCCAGACGGCGTTCGGCAAGGCCCATGAGAAGAAGAGCAAGGAGCTCAAGCAGTCGGGCGAAGCCGAGCAGCAGCCGCAGCACAAGCAGGTGGAGAGCGCGCCCACGAGCAAGTCTGCCTGAGTTGACTATCAACAGTCCCAGTGGCGGCAAGCCCAAGGATGTGCGTGCGACTTTTCCTATTGAGTTTTGAGTCGACTGCAGCCTAGTAATGGTTCGGAGAATTCGGTAGTGGAGATACCTTCACGTAGCTGTAGTCGCGCCAACTAAACATGCCAGTAAAAACAAATACTTCTAATGAGTGTTGCCATTGCATTTAACGTTACTTGAGGATGTCCTTGACAACACCCTCCAGAAGCTTCTTGATGCTTGGCATGGCGATTTTCATCTTGAGCTTGAAGAGTTTGTCCTTCACCTTGGTCACCGCCGTCAGCATCGCGCGTTCCTCCGTTAGCGCTAGCTCCTTGTTCTGCGTCGACGCGTGACCTTTGTGAACTCGCAGAAACCTCTGCTCTCCGACGGCGGGGCCTGCCACGTTCAGCGAGTCGATGGAGTTCTTGACCTCGACAGCATTGGTGCTAGCAAGGAGAGTGACGATAGTCGCGAGAACGACACTGGAAAGCCGCATTGTGGTCCGAATCGGCGAATTGAGGAGTGAGGGAGATCGGCGGCGGGCGGAGTCTTTTGTCTCGACAACTTCGTTGGATGCAGATGGCGCGAGAGCCGTTTCTGCTGCAGACTTGCTGACTTGGCCAGACAGGTACCGTAAACGCTCAAGAGCATTTCAGGATCTGTTGACATGTGAGCAAATCGTTACTTCGTAGTGCAGTTACTGCCCTGCCCTGCAGTAACTGCACTACGAAATAACGATTGCCCTGCAGTAACCTAATCAGAAGTAGAAACCTTACCTGTACCTCCGTAACCTCAACCCACCTTCAGACCTCCCAACTTCCCCGACTCTCGGCCTAACCTGCGTAACTATCATGCTTTGCATAAATAGCCCATCTTTAAAGGTGCCGCGTACTGCGTACAGTACGCGGCGTTCATGCAGGCTCGCAGACCTCGCTCGGACGTCTAATCCAGAACTGGTCACCAGGAGCGATCTCTACAGCCGAATTTGCGCGATGAACGAGCACCGCCCCCCTGACGAAGTGCTGAATAGCGCCTCGCACACGCCGATGGCGTCTGTCCCTCAAAATCGCAGTCCACACACTATCGCCCGTGAGAGTTGGAACGCTACAGGATGTGATTTTCGCTGAGCTGTTTCTACCAACACGCGCCAAACAAAGAGAAGCCGAAGGTTAGACACCGTGTTCTCTTCCGATTCGGATGCCGCCAGTGAGTCGCAGGTTCAAGAGGTCCAGCAGCGCTCGGTACCCAGGGTTGACGCAACGCCTGCGCAACAAGCTTCGGACGGCGGTGATAGAGGTACTTTGGTCGCCATGACGCCTGCGCAACGAGCGGTGGACGTCGGTGCTAGCGGTAATTCGACTGCTACGACGCTAACAGCTCCTCCACCACTATGGCAGACCCCAGTCTACGAAACGGTAATGGCAGTACCGTCTCACAAACAGGTTGGCATGAGTAAATTAAAATTCGAAAGCCTGAACACTGGCAGTTTATTGTGCTTGTGGCTCACTACCGGTTCTGGAATATCGATGATAAAAACCTGAAGAACGAGCACACTGCGTATGCATATTGCACAAGGTGCAAACGATCGGTTCGATTCGGCAAGGGAAACAGCGGTGTTGAGAGGCACATGAGCAACTACCACGCAGCAGCGCTCGCAAATTACGGCAAAGAGGACGATGTGGATGAGAATAGCCTTGAGCCGCAGCCCGAAGTTCAATCCCGACAGCTTCGTGAAGTTAGCCCCGAGCAGCAGAAGGAGGTGTACGTGCTTCTTGCGCGTTGGATAGCAGCCCATTTTTGCCCGCTTCTCTTGGTTGAAGACAAAGGCTTTATTACGTTCATCAAGTTCATCACGAGCGCGTCGGTGAGCATCTCGACGTCCACGAGCGCTTCCGCGTCCTTCAGCACGTCCACGTCCTTGACCATCTCGATGTCCACGAGCGCGTTGGCGTCCACGAGCGTGTCGCCTTCTCGAGCACTTCGGCGTCCACGAGCGCTTCCGCGTCCGTCAGCAGGTCGACGTCCTTGAGCATCGCGACGTCCTCGAGCAGATCGGCTTTCTACAGCGAGTCGGCAGCTACGAGCGCGTCGGCGTTCACGTGCACGTCGACGTCCTGGTGTTCACGGGTGTTGGTGTCCAGGCGTTTGTGTGTTCGTGTAAGCTCATATAATTTTTATATGGAGTTTTGTATGTGGGAGGTTAGCGAGGTTAGTGAGGTGAGACCAACCTTACCTTAACCCGCGGGAGGTTGAAGGTGAGGAAGGTAAGGTTGACAGGACTAACCAGAAGCAAGACCACCAAGGTACGTAGAATTGTTCGGTGTTGGCATCACACAAAAATCTGCAAGTTCGCAAATACAGGAATAAGTATTCAGACTGCATTCCGAATACAGAGCAACATGTAAATCCGCCGTATCAGCTCTCTTCGCAGGTAACTTAGTCACTCTCTGCTTTCCTCCCAAACGCAAGGCCAAACGCTTGGCGATCCATCGAGATTGTGCAGAAAGCGTTTGCCATGATGAGACAGATTACATGGAAGTGCAAGAAAAGATGATGTTCTGTGAAGTGTCGATGATGCTCATGTCGGTGCCGGTCCAGTACCCACAACCTGGTGTTAACGAGAATTTGTTCGTTCTCGGACAGCACAGTTCTCGAAAAGTATGGCAGTGCATGTGCATTGAGTACATTGTTAAACAAACGTTTCGTGTTGTACGTGCCTTCATGGTCACGTCGCCGCACGCAGGAAAGGGTACGACGGCAGCAGATACCGACTCATTTCGTGAGCCGATAGAGCCTTTAGATCGGGTGCAATGCGCGCGAGCGAGGCACAGGACGGCCGCTTCTGCAGGATTGGACAGTGCTCCATAGCCTGCCGCACAATGCGCGAGTACACGAACAGCTGCGCTTCGTCGGAGTGCTGCAGTACTGTCACACACTGGTGCATTGAGGTTGCACCCGTGGTTTCCGCTTGGCAACACGGCACAGTATGTCCGACAAAGCGGCAAAGGAGTCCGCCCTCTTCATTCACCCGCTCCTCGCGTCGATTTCGAGTGAGATCGAAGTGGAAAAGGTGCCGGGATAAGCCGAACTGCTGCGCCAGATCCACTGCAAAACCCCATGTAGCTAGCATCAACATCGTGTACGGCTTGGTGGCGACGCCCGTTGGTACGAGTAGCTTCTCCTCTGGTGAGATCATCGTCATCAGTCGGCCTTGCATCGTCCCGAGGGTGAAACGCAACGCTTTCGAGTCGTTGAGGAACGCCCCCAACGCGGCCACCTGCACGTCGTACAACAACGCGAAGAGCCCAGGCGACCAGCGAAATGTATCGCGCGCGTACTCGGAGTGGAGACTGTCGAAGAGGTCTCGAGTCCATTGCACGACTTGGTCACTCAAGTCACCGTGGAGTACCCCGTCTTCCGAGGTGTTGGAGCTCGTGGTATTGAGCAATCGAATAGCATCCAGCAGCATAGGGACTACCGCTGTGTGTCGAATGCCCATGAGGGACCCTCGCGTCTTGCCGTCAGTGCTCGTAAGCAACTTCTGGTACGACGTGTCTGCGTATTCGAGCGTTGCCCGCATGGCACTCGTTGGATTGGCGCACCACGCTTCTAAGAACCTTGATGCCTTAAGAGCGTACTGCTTGTCACCCGTTATTCGCCACGCTAAGGACAGCGCAGTGGTGTTGTACGCCATCTCTCGAATTAAATCGCCGTCATTCAGCGGCCCATCCTTATGATCGAAGTAGTTCGCGAAAACCCGGGGGTCACGCTCTGAATCCAGGGACTCGTTACTGGTCACCGTCCAGGACTCCGATACCTCCATGGCACGATTGGCGTCGTCCAAAAGACTAGAAATGGCTTGCTTGCCTTCCTCGGTACTGGATTGCTGTGTGTAATTTTTTAGAAGAGCTTCGTCGTAAACGAGAAGATTGTCCGGGCTATAGTGGAAGAGCTCGAGCATCACGCGCTCCTCCAGCTTATCCAGCGCGTTGATCACGCCCTTTGCCCGGCGTATTTCACGGCCGTATCCTGCCTCGGCAGTGTTCGCCTCCATATCTGACTCCAGGCCAGAATACAAGCGGATCACGTACCCGGTACTGGGTACTGCATCAATTCCGGTAACGTCCCTGGATAGATTGGCAAAAGTGCGCTGCTGTTCCCACGAGCTCCACCCCCAGCCGTTCCACACACCACTCACCTGCAGTCTGATAAGCAGAGCCGCCTTGTCCCGCTGTCCATAGCGAAGCTGTTCGTCAAAGCGCTCGACGCTGTCGTTCCGGAAGATAATCTGCGGTTCCTCCCACGGATCAACCTTGAAACCAGGCGAGAAGATGACGTCGTTCTCCTCCGTCAGCCGATCCATGAACGACATGAAGTACTTTTGATCGGGTGCCGCGTTGTCGAGATCTCGTTTGATCTGCCCCCACGCCTCCTGGGTCAGGAAGCATGTCTGATCCCATGGCAGCAGCCACCTCGCTCCGCTCTGTCTAGCAATGTCCAGCATCACATTGCGCGCGACGTTGATGCCCAGCGCGTACCGGTTCTTGCTGGCGTAGATGGCGTTGATGTCCTGGTGCTTCGTCCACTCGTCGTCGTCCCTCGGGTCCTCGTGCACGCGGTCCACTCCGTGGTCCTCCACTACCACATTGAACGGAGCCTGCGCGTACTGCTCCAGCCGCAGCGGCAGCTCCGTGTACGGCGCGTCGAACTCCGCGAGCAGTTCGCGGAACTGCCGCGCCACGTGGTCATCCGCCAGGCGGTTGAGCACCCAGTGGGTCGCGACGTCCAGCTTCTCGTGCTCCAGGATGAAGCGCAGGTTCTGCAGCGCCCGCGAGGGGTCGTGGCGCGGCGGCAGCGCGTTGCCGATGGCGCGCACCAGCATGTACGTGGGGGGAGTCGCTCGCGGAGGCCGCGGACTGCGCAGCAACGGCCGCAGCGGGGCCTGCCCCAGCGACGACATGCGGTACGACAGCAGCCCCACGGACAGCACGCCCAGCGCCAGCAGCAGTGCCAGCCACCGGCGCACGCTGCACGCGCCACGCTCCGCCGCCAACATCCCCGACGCCGCCGCCGCCTTGAACCGCGGCATGGAAGTTTGCAATAATACTTATTTTAATATTAAAATATGGCTAACGTGGCTATGTCGTATGATGGGCCACTGGAACCTAGCCCTACTAAGATTCGACGTATGTGATTCGTCGAAAAAGATGTAGTATTATGTGCGGCACCTTAAAGATACCGACGAGATACTATCTTTTCGATACGATCTCTTGCTCGTCACTACACAGTACGATGTGGCAGCATTCCTGCATTCGCCGCGTCGCGCGCAGAGCTCGAGTTCCAAGCTCCCCCTCCGCTGCTACATCGCCATGAGCGCCAAGAAGTCGGTGATTGAGCTGCGCCACCCGTCGGGCTCGCGCGCCGAGGTGCAGCTGTACGGCGCGACCGTCACGGGCTTCTACGCGGCGCAGGAGCCCGAGCGCAACGTGCTGTTCCTGTCGCGCCAGGCGCTGCTGGACGGCAGCAAGCCCATCCGCGGCGGCATCCCGCTGGTCTTCCCCGTGTTCGGCGCCGCCGAGGGCTTCCCGAACCACGGCTTCGCGCGCGTGAACCACTGGAAGCTGAGCCAGCTGGACCAGACGGTGGGCGACGACCAGAGCCCCACGGTCGCCACCTTCGCGCTGGACGTGACGGAGGACATGAAGGCCATGTACCCGCACGACGTGGCGCTCGTGTACGAGGTCAAGCTGTTCGCCAACGCGCTGGCCACAGCGCTGCACGTGCAGAACAAGTCGGACCACGAGGTCGCCTTCCAGGCGCTGCTGCACACGTACCTGTCCGCGGACGACGTGCGCGACGGCGGCGTCGTGGTCGAGGGGCTCAAGGGCGTGGCGTACCACGACAAGGTGGCGGCCGCGCAGCAGACGGAGACGCGGGACGTGCTGGGCTTCGCCCAGGAGACGGACAGCGTCTACGCCAACGCGCCGTCGCCCGTTGTGGTCCGCATGAAGCGCGCGGGCGGCAAGGAGCAGGTCGTGACCGTGGAGAAGGAGGCCTTCATCAAGAGCGGCGCCTCGCAGGTCCCGCAGCCCAGCGACGTCGTGGTGTGGAACCCTTGGGTCGAGAAGAGCAAGGGCATGAGCGACTTCGCGGACGACGAGTACCCGACCATGCTCTGCGTCGAGCCCGGACGCGTCAGCGAGCAGCAGAAGCTGCCGGCCGGACAGACCTTCACGCTGCAGCAGGCCATCAAGCTGTCGGCACTCTAGGTCCGTGCTGTGTGGGACATGACGCGGGAGGCCACCTTGGTAGTGTAGCGCAGGGGCCTGCTATCGGAGCCGTCCACTTGCTTGCTTTTAACGGAGTTGATTGTCGTGAAGAAACGCGGTGTTGGAGTTGGTTCCTGCTGTCGGGTTTGGCCAGGATATGCGGGCTTCGACTGGGGGTTCTTCAAGCGAGGCTGATGAGGTATGTCACTGGGATTTGCAGTGTTGGTTGCAGTGTCTATTTCGGTGTGTCATTGTTCCCAGGTTCGCTTCAACTTGCTGACGAGCTACTTTTAGCGGAGCTCACAACTACGAAACCCCATGGGCAAGGCTTTCAAGGCTCTGATGGTATTTTTACTTGGCTCTGCTGGCACGTGCATCATTGCGGAAGAAGTGTGGATTGATAGCCATTGATAGACACCCCCCGCTACAAGAGCCTTGCTGCAGCCATGAGCTTGAGCGCGCGATCGCACTCGGCGTCGAGTCGGGGCTCGTCCAATAACCTGATCCATGGTGGCGGTGGTGGCTCTCGACGCTACCGTCGTGTTGCACATACGCCGCAGGTGGATGACACGCTCTTCGGTGAGAAGAACCAGCTACTCAAGAGCCGCAAGAATGACCGCACGCTCCAAGCTGGAAGGTAAGGACACGTACTTTGCGTTGTACCTATCTCCAAGTACTTGGTACTGACCATGACTCTTGTGGCAGGGACATTGTTGGAGCGCATCCAGGCGCTTCGTCGAACCAAGAAGGCGGTGGGCACGATGCAAAGTCGACTTTTGGAAGCCAGGTCGGAAGACGAGCAGGGAAGCGAGTAGTGACCAAGGCCCAACTCGTGGTGGTGCCTGAAGACGAACTCGAGCGCATCAGGGCCGAGACGAAAATCCTGACTCCGGCCGATATCGAGGCGCTGGAGGCCAAGCGAGAAGCCGATCAAGAGTATCAGCGATTGACGTCGAAGGCTCGCAAAGAGCACATGCTCAAGCTCAGCGAGGAAGCAGCACAACGAGCTCCGAAGAGCGAGATTGAGCAAATTTTCTCCGCTGAGAAGCACGAGATTCTGCGCCGTGCGCAAGTACTGAAAGACCAGATGCACGACAGCGTGAAGCTGATGAAGACGCTCGGCACTCGCGCGCAAGCCTTCACCATTCGTGATCAGCAGCTCAAGGTGAAGAAGGAGCTAGAAGAGGAGCACCACGTGTACGACGAGAAGATGAACACCTTGATGGAGATCGAGCGGCTTGAGAGCCTCAAGCGCCAAGAACACCGTGATGAGGTCAAGAAGCAGAAGCGATACGCAGATCGCAAGGTGCTGGAAGACCAGATCGAAGACCGTCGTCGCCAGCGTCAGAAGGAGAGCGAGATGATCGCCCAGGAAGCGCAGGAGATGTTGGCTAAGATTCAGCGTCAGCAAGAGGAGGCCGCGGAGAAAGAGAAAACCAAGGCTCTGCGCGCGCAGCGCTCAATGGAGGAGATCAAGAGGTTCAACGAGGACAACTTATTGAGGAAGCAGGAGGTGCAGCGCAAGATCAAGGAAGAGGAGGACCAGGTGCTAGCGTACCAAAAGAAGAAGGCCGACGATCTGCGGCGGCGTGAAGAAGAAGAGGCTCAGCGACGTCACGAAGCAGAGCTGCGTTGTGCCAAGCTACGCTCCATGCAGGAGAAGATGGCGAACGAGAAGGCTGAGCTCGATGAACTGCGTGCTAAACGCGCTGCAGAAGCTCGTGAACGGCAAGCGCGTGAAGCTGACTTGGCTTTGGCGAGGAAGCAGAAGGAAGAGATGGATGAGTTGCGGCGTGCTCGCAACGCTCAGGCTCTGCACCGTGAACGTGCTCGCGTGAAGGAGGCAACGCTCCAGCAGCGCGAGTACGAGTCGATCATGGTGCAGGTCGAGTCGGACAAGGCGCGCGTGAAGACGGAGGACGAGAAACGCAAGCTGGCCAGCATGGCGCACCGTCGTGTGCTGCAGTCGCAGATCGAAGAGAAGGAGCGTCTGAAGAAGCTCGCGTTCGTCAAGAAGCAGGAGGAGGGTCAAGCGCTGAAGGAGGAGTTCGCTCGAGAGCTGGAGAAGCTGGAGCGAATTCGTATGGAGGAGGTTGGCGAGCTGGTTGAAGCGGGTGTTAACCCGCTGTACCTGTCGGAGATGAAAGCGCTCGTCATTGAGAAGCAGATCCGGTAGACACCGACGCAATAAACCTTGATAACCAATTTCCTAAATGTTTCATGAAGCACGTACGGACGGCAACGTGCCCCACGGTGGGGCTGGTGGGGAGTTGAAACGTTGAGACAACTTGCCGTCTTCTCGCTTTTGGCTTGTCCAGCTGGACCATGTTAATAAAAGCACAACCGATGCCATTCCGTCCCGTAATACAGGTTTCTTTGGCTATAAACCAGCCCCGCACCTCATAGCTCTCCATAAAATCGACGTCACTTCTAGACCAGCTTTGTGGCGCACAAGTCCGAGATTTTATCATGAGGCTCTACACTGTGCTCGCGACGGCATTCTTTCTTCTTGCACTCGTCAACGTTGTTGCTGCGAACGCGGCTGGAGTTTCATCCGATACCACTCGATTGGCGGGGGAGAACAGCGTGGACAAGCGCCACCTCCGGAACCAGGAAACCTACGAGGATGGAGACGAACGCAAGGACGAGGAGAGAGGGTTCGTACGATTCTGGATCTGGGAAGGCAGCCTGGGGCTGTTTACCAGAAGTATCTGAAGTATTTCGAGGGGTTGAGCATGAGCGAGCGGCTAAAACACCCCAAGTACAAACGGTGGATGGCCTACAAAAAATACTTCAACAAAGGGAATCCGGTGGCTACTACTGCGTAGGTTGTGACAACCACGAGATGCGGCTTGTGGACTTCACCGACTGGGAATACTTGAGAAGAATTCCGCTGTTGGTGCCTAGAGCTAAATAGACGAAAACGTCGTTTGATTTACCGTCTTCAATTAATTCACTCTGTCTTCGGACAGTGCGACGTTCTCTCATCAAAGTTGGCTGTGCTGATCCATGTTCCCAGGCCTAGCAGCCGTGGCCTTCTGCAGCGAAAAGGCTACATGTAGCCGAATGCTTTATCTGGGCTCTATTTGCATCAATTGCGCTGGAAGCTTTCAGGACACCTGTAAGGTTCTGGTTGTGCTTGTTGTGTTGCGAGTAAAATGGAAACTGAATTGATGTCTTTGTCTGTTTGCTGCTATCCATCTACCCGAGGGCGCCCTCATGGCGCTCGGTCCTAAACATGAAGTGGTTGGCTGAGGCGTGCCGGAGCAGGAGCTTGCGCAACCGGTGAGTATGCAGACGACGACTTGGGCTCTCTGCGTGCGGACTCAACTGATGATGTGGTTGTGTTCTGCTCTTGCACGTGCAGATCATTACACTCCCCCCGACTTGAGCGAGTCCCGGCACCTTGAACGTTGAAGTCGCCGAAGTTGAAGTTGGTAGTACTGTAGACCCTCGATGTAAGGAACAGTACCGTGAAAACTCTGTTAAAGAGAATTCCACTAGGCCCGTGCCACTCGATTGCGTTGGCGAAGATCTTTTAGCAGCGCTTGCCAGTGGCTGACGTGTTTGATGTCGCGCTCGCGTTCCCACGTGTTCTCATGGTGAGGGAGCCCGTGCCACTTGACCAAGTACTCAGGTTGGCGGTTGAAGATGCGCTTCTTGATCAGAGCTTCGACAACGTGTAGTGGCTCGCCATCGTCGTCGAAAATCACGGGAGTCGACTTCGGGATCACACGGCCGACGAAGCGATCAGGGTTGCTGTTGTATAGCTTGAGCTTGTTGATGTTGAAGCGTGGGCTGAAGTGCTTAAAGTTGGCCGGTAGATCCAGCAGCGCGACGTTGCCGTGAAGTTCCTGGATCGGGTACGGACTGATGAAGCGCGGGATGAACTTCCGTGAGCGAAGCGTCGTTTCCGCGATGGCGTGCGAGATGTTCAGGTCCTGCGTCGACAGCAAGGCTAGATCACCGACCTTGAATGGGTTTGCTGCACGACGCCGGTCGTAGAACTTCTTTTGAGCCTCTTGCGCATCCAACAGATTCTTCCGAGCACGTTCGATCATCTCTTGACGATGCTGAACAAATCGAGACGCGTACTCCAAACGAGACCTCGCCACCGGCTGATCGCTCTCCACACTACCCAATGGGTTCTTAGGGTGACGACCGGTGTCGACGAAGAAGGGCGACAGCTTCGACGAGCTGGACACCAGTGTTGCGTGCGCATACTCAATCATGGGCAGGTGCTCATTCCAGTCGTTGCCATGGTACGAAACAGAGCATCGCAACGAGTCCTCGAGAGTCCGATTCTGACGCTCAGTTTGGCCATCGGCCTGCGCTCGGTGGGCAGTCGTCATCGCTGTCTTGATCTTCATCAGCTGTACCAGTGCATTCCAGAACTTCGACGTGAACTTCGGGTCCCGGTCGGAGATGATGGTCGATGGGATACCATAGTACCGGATGACGTTGTTGAAGAACAGCTTGGCAATGTCTTCCGCAGTCGCCGTGGTGTGCGTCGGGATGTAGACTGGACGCTTTGACAACTTGTCCACCACGACCATGATCGCATCAAAGCCGTCGAACACAGGCAAATGCGTGATGAAGTCAGTCGAGACAACATCCCAACACGCAGCGGGCAACGAGATCGGCTCAAGCTTTCCTGCTCTTCGTCCGGTGCTTGACTTGTACCTCATGCATGACTCACAACTCTGAACGTAGGCTTTGATGTCCAGATCCATGCTCGTCCAGAAGTACCACGGTGCCGCAGCAAGCTGAGCGCGACGGATGCCTGGGTGCGCCATGATCGCCGCATCATGCGCGTTGTGAATGACATCGAGCCAGAGTTTCCGGTTGTTTGGCACACAGAGGCGGCGTAGGCTGTCGTTGCTCTTCAAATAGATCAACCCGCGAATGATTTCGCACTCTTCCGACGGGCGACCGGAGGCTTGAAGACTGAATCTTTGCTGTATGCCTTCTGAAACGCTCGCTTCGTTTGGTTATCCAGTTGGAGTGAGCTTATCACCGTGCTGTCCTTCATCGATGCTGCGTTCAATCTCATACGCCACTGTGCCGTGCCTACACCATGTGCCCTTGCGACTGGCTGTTTGACGGCAAGCATCACGGCTTGATCGCGAGTCGGTATGCTTTGGAGCTTCTCCGTAGCCTTGGTACGACGCGATGCCGCGTCGCGAATGTTCGTGCATGTCGGCGACGTCAAACACGCCGTACACACTGCCAGCGGCTCGGGTTCGGTTTCACCAGCCTCCGGTTCCTCCCCCGGACTTGAAGAAGCATCAGGGGGGCGCGATGACGCGTCGGCGACGACATTCAAAGCGCCTGGACGATGATGCAGTGTGAACTGGAAGGACGCAAAAAAGTCCAGCCAGCGAGCCAAGCGACCAGACAGGCGGGGATGCTGTAGAAACCACTTGCACGCCGAGTTGTCCATGTACACACCAAACGAGACTCCATGGAGGTAATGGCGCCAACGGGTGAGCGCTTGTTTGATCGCAAAGAGTTCCTTCTAGTGAACAGGCCAGTTCAGCTCATGCGGACCAAGCTTCTTGCTGAAAAATACCACGGGGAGATCATTGCCGCCATGCAGCTGAGAGAGGACTCCACCAATGCACGCGTGACTAGCATCCGTTGTCAAAATGAACGGCTTGTCGAAGTCTGGCAGACGTAGTACCGGTGCGTGCTGGAGCGCAAGCTTGATGGTATTGAAAGCCTGGCGCTGACCGTCATCCCATACCCACGCCACATCTTTCTTGACTAAAGAGCTCAGCGGAAGTACCAGTGTCGCAAACTGATGAATGAAGCGACGATAATATCCGGCGAGGCCCACGAAGCGCTATAGATCCTTGATGTTGCTAGGCTCTGTCCACTCGGCGATGGCTCAAGTCTTGCGAGCGTCCACGTGCAAGCCATCAGCTGAGATGGTGTGACCAAGGAAGTCGACCCAAGCTTGACCGAAGTCGCACTTGTCCGGACGAGCGTAAAGCTTGTGAGCCCGAAGGATTTCACAGACTTGCCGTAAGTGCTCGACGTGATCGGCCATCGACCGCGAGAAGATGCAGATGTCGTCCAGATAAACGACCACGAACAGTAGATGGCTCAGCAGCTTGCGCACCAGGCGCGTCCACGTGCCCGGCATGCCGGCCAGTCCCATAGGCGCCACGTTCCAATGATATATCTCATGGTTTGTCCTGAGTGCCGTGTACTGCTTAGACGTCGGAGACATATGCATCTGGTGGTATCCACTGGCGAGGTCGAGAATCGAGAAGATCACTGCTCCCACCATCCGATCAAAGAGCTGCTCGATGTGCGGCAGCGGTATCTTGGCAACCTCTGAGGCCGCATTCACCAAGCGATAGTCAATGACCCATCGAATGGGCATGTGCGGATTGTTCGAATGTAGCCACTCCAAGCGTGATGGGAATTTGCCAGTCGCGGGATCCTTTTTGGGCACGCCAAAGATGTTTAATACCCGTGGAGAGTCCGACACTTCGATCCAGTTCTTCTTCAGCAGCTCTGCCACAAAGATGTCCAATGCCTCCTGCTCAACCTTCGAGAGACGGAAGGGGGCGCGGTTGCTGGGCGTCGCACCTGGTTTCAAGACCACTTCGTGCTCGATTGAGCGGCTCGGTGGTAATCCAGGCGGCAACTCTGACGGAAAGACATCTGCGAACTCGTCAAGTACTGCTTGAAGCTTCGACGGCACGGACTTCACCTTGGGCGACGTCTTCACCGTGACATTATACAGTTCGGCGTACTCGTCGGCCTTCACCTTTGTCTCAAACTCTGTCGCCGAGAGGACACACAACGACGATGCCTCCGTGTCGTCATCGCCTTCGTTGTCAAAGATGCGTGGCAATGGCTGACATTCTAGCTCTGCTATCGAGCTTGGCCCCAAAGGCATACTGAAGTAGCCTGCCTTTACACGAGCGTCAAGCTGCTGCCGCAGATTCGGGGGCAGGGGGTGCTGAAGGAACTCAGGTTTCACTTCCACTGAAGCCACTGACGGTCCCGCTACCTCGAGACTGTCGTTCACCGAAATGAAATCATGCACTAAGCGCTTGTTAGGGAACCGCATCACTCCGGTTTGCCAGTCGATAACCGGGTTGAACTGCACCAGCCATGGAAGCCCGAGGATCACGTCTTGATTTGTCGACACTTCCCACTCAATGAGGGAAACTCCGTTGAAGTCTCTGCCAGCAAAGCTGATAGTCTCCAAACATTGTTGCGCCGTACGGGCCGGCGTTGTCGTACCGTCCAAGCGCTCCGCCGTGACCTTGGTGAACTCAACGCAGTTTTGGGCGAGGCAAGGGCGCACAATGTTGCGCTCTGCACCGCTGTCGATCAAGATTCGCACTGCCCGCCCGTTCATCGCCCCCTCGAATCGCAACAGTTCACGATTGGGTGACGGCTGGGTGGCGATGGACACCATGTTCAACTGCAAGCTGTCAATGACCTCGACGTGGTCGTCACGGCTGTCTACGTAGTCGTCTTCGTCTTCGTCGGATACGTCGTCTTCGACAATGCGGCGGAACGAGCCCTGGTTAGCGCGGAATGACCCGCGCCCTTGTGGAGGACGAGACACACCCCGGGGGTTGTTGCGCGCTGGCCTCTTTGGACACGTGGCCAGGCGATGCCCGGGTTCCTTGCAGTAGAAGCACAGATTACTGCGCAGACACTCGTCGCGAGAAACGAAGCGCGAGCTTCCAATCTCCATCGGTGTCGGCTCCTCGATGCGATGTAACGACTGTTGAAGGCGTTGGCCACCTTGACCTCCGCGGTTCGCATGGGTTCGACGCGATCCTACAGCGTGCGTTCGGTCGTACATCAGTGCAAATGAAATCGCGTCCGTCGTGTTTCGGAACTGGCGCAGCTTGACCTCCTGTCTGATCTCTACGACCAACCCCTTCTGAAAATGCATGACCTTGTCGATATCGCTCATGTCCTCTACCTTGCAGATGATGTGCCGGAAGGCCGACACGTAATCTTCGAGGCAGGCGAAGTTGTTCTGGCGTAGGCGTAGGAGCTGGTCGCGCAGGTGCTCTTGGTGATCGGGGGTCGTGAACTCGCTGGTCAGCAGCTCCTCGAACTGCGAGACCGAGTGCAGGAAGTTCCCGTCGTGGGAGACGTACTCGCGGTACCACGCTGCTGCTGGCCCCTTCAAGTTCGCCACCGAGAGTGACAGGGGGCGCTGCTGCGGTGAGTCGGCGCCGTACTTGATGTTCTTCAACTCAAAGTAGAGTTTGGCACTGAAGAGGTAGTCCGCGACATCGTCGTCCTTAGTGCCGGAGAACTTAGGGATGGAGATGCCCTCGGCACGGTACTCGCGCGTGTCTTGAGAAGTAGAGTCGGGCGACGGTGGTTGTTGCTGCTGCTGCGAGGCAGACTGCTACTGCAGTTGCTGTTGCAGTGTCGCCGCCATCTGGCGCTGCAGCGCCGCTGTCTGCGCCATGAACTGCTGTTGCTCGCATATCATCGCCGCGAGCGAGGCGAACATCTGCTGCACGCTGTCCGCGTGCTGCATCGCTGCTTCATCCATGTTTGCGCCTACGCTAGCCACGTCGTCAATAGATGGCTGGGGCGCGCAAGCTCCTCAGCTAAATCAATCAAAGTTTGAAGTCGCAGGCACTCCCTGGAGCGCTGCTTCCGACAATGTCTGTAAACCCCAACGAAGTCACAGACGCCCGACCTGGAGCTCTGCTTCCGACAAGTACCAACCACTTGCTCCAGTGTCCCGAAGGAAGCAACTGGTGCAATTCCGTCCGGCGCTAGCTCGAGTCCGCCTCGGAGCACAAAGACTCCTACTACTAAACTCGTAACGGCCACCGACGCAGATGTTACACTCGGCTGCGCACTGTTTGCAAGTGACAGCTGAGGCGACAAGCGGAAGGTCGAGGTGGGTGCCGCGTATGGACACGCGGAAGTGATTGGGCTAAATGCACGAATGAGATGTCGACACGAAGTGACGTGTGACAATGTGCGTCGCCACTCCTCCCCCAGAAAGAAAAGGAGCGAGCTCGGCGAAAATGGAGGCCCCGTCGGCGACGAGCGGACGAGGCTGCGGACGAGGTCACGCACGCGGCCCACCCGGAGAAGTTGAACGGCGAGAGGTACAGGTGCAGCACACCGAAGAACGGATGCGAGGAAGACGGCGTGCGCAACGGCAACGCGGGGCGGACGAGGCTGGACGGCGTGCACACCGGCGACGCGTGGCGGCACTGGAACTGGAACGAGGACTGGAACTTGAACCGGAACTGGACTGAAGCGCGCGTCGGCTCCGCAAGTGCTACCAAGTGTAAGGTTCTGGTTGTGCTTGTTGTGTTGCGAGTAAAATGGAAACTGAATTGATGTCTTTGTCTGTTTGCTGCTATCCATCTACCCGAGGGCGCCCTCATGGCGCTCGGTCCTAAACATGAAGTGGTTGGCTGAGGCGTGCCGGAGCAGGAGCTTGCGCAACCGGTGAGTTTGCAGACGACGACTTGGGCTCTCTGCGTGCGGACTCAACTGATGATGTGGTTGTGTTCTGCTCTTGCACGTGCAGATCATTACAACACGGGCCCGCGGCTGCCTATCGCAAGTTGCCCAAGTGTTTTAAGGGGTCGACCGCGGAGGCACAGAAGAAGAAATCAAAGTACCAGCTCTGGTTTGCATACACAAGTTGGGACAACAAGGGGCTGTGCTTGAGGCTGGGAAGACAGTTGAAGTGTGAGATACAAATGTATACTTATCAGGAAGGTCGGCTATCTTGCCTATTTGGCGCTTCCATTTGAGAAGGTTAGAATGGGTTTGAGTTAAAGTCCTGCGAATCGCTTACTAGGTTTCGGAGCCTGCGATGGCCTAAACAGTAAGCAAAGAAATATTCAAGGGCGCGGCTTGCTGCGCCCTTGAATCACGCGGGCAGCGCATTGTTTCCACTTCACCACTTTCGAGTATAACGGTTGGTCGACTCGCCACGATTAGCTTGACTAAGCAGCGTGAGCGACAGTGACGCAACGAGAAGCGATTGCTCGATCATGTCGTATAGTTTCCATGTCCTGGCACAACGACGACGTCAATGCATTCTGGTTGTCAAGCTGATTTGTGTGAACGTTACGTGTCACCGATGTGATGTTGTCCGAATGGTGCTTGTGGTACGAGCAACCTTTTTTTGGACGAATTAATGTCTGTGAGGCTGTCCATACAGCTCTTCTAGCTGTCTTCCCAGGACAAGTATTATTATTGTGCTTCGCAAACGTTTTGTCGTTTTGACTTGGAGCTCTCCTCGATTTATCATTAAGTCGAGGTCGATTTAATAAAACGAGATCAAAGAAAGGGACAGATCGATCTATTTAGGCCGGCTAATAACTCGAGCTACGACAATCCAAATCAGGGCTCGAGGTCGATCTCCTGGTGGATCTGGGCAGAACGAGGTCGATCTACGGTACATCGATCCCTTTTGCGTTTTCAAAAGCGCAATTCAAGGTCGATCTAAGTAAATCGAGATACCGCCTCTGTTTTGTACCCTGATTTGTGGACCGGCCTTCCTCGATCTAGGCCATAAAACGGGGCGACATTTATCTGCAAAGCACAATAACTTCCCAGTTAGTGTGTGTCGGTTTAGAGTTCAACGTAGGAATTTTCAGGCATGTCAGGAGGGGGTATTGTGGACAGAAAAAGAACGAAATACCCCTTTTAAAATTGCCAAGAGTACCCCCTCTTAACTAAGGAAATGCAGGCGTGGAAGCCAACTTGCACTGCCATCTCCAGCGTCTGCAGAAGGTTATCCATGTATGCAACGAGGAATAGGCCAAATACATGGCTAATAACACTCTTAGCACGTCGCAAGCGATGTCGAATCCAGTAGTATCGCTCATATGTAGCTGTAAGTCGGGATCGTACCGCCTAAACTCAAGTTGAAGACTCCATTGGTGGCTAGTTGCTCACTTGAGCGTCAAGCGCCGAACTTGTCAATCATTTCTAAACTTGCCAAACAACGGCCAACCCACCAACCCACCAACGCCCATGCCACCCACTTCATCTTCCAAAGCTCGCGGAACCTCCAAAGGCCGTGGGAAGGGTCGCTATAAGCCGACTACAAGTTCAACTCAGGCGACTCGAAAGCTGCGCAGTGTTAACGACGCACTAACAGCATTGCCAACCAAGGTGAAGCTGCCAACGCGTCAGCAATGGTTTCCAAAGTATGAGAAGGAGCTCTGCGTTCGTCCGTTCAACTACGTGGAAGGCGACGTCGCCGAGGCGATCTGCAAATTCTGCGAGGTGTTCCGACGGGAAGATCCGCCGGACGAGCAAGACGATTCCGCGTTCGATGCGTTGATGAGGAACCCGAAAAAGAAGCGCAAGAAGATGGCTAAAGCTATGGTGTTCAAGACGTTTCGCCGCGACCATATCATCCGACACATGCAGCGCGAGCACTCGAAGAAGTGGTCTGCCTTCCTTGCTGTCACGGAGGACGAAGAGCGCGAAAGCTTTTTCCTGCCTACCCGGATCGAGGACTTCCTCCCGAGACACCCTCAGATTTCGTTTGTGGTTCTGAGCGGAATTGCCAGCCTCATCAAGCGTCTGTTCTGCAACCGAGGTGATACGCCACACGGCTTGGTGACTGTGGACGACGAAATCGGAGAGGTTGAAGTCTCCAACGACTTTATGGAGACCGAGACGGATGGATACGTTCTAGTTATCCGTGATCGAGGCCAGTTTGAGACCATTGTCAGCTGCATCAACGCGGGAGTAAGCTTTCGTGCCATTGCTGGTCTGTTTGCCACGTTCGGAACCGCGCTGTCCAACATGAAGCCTGGATTCCCCTGCAGACAAGTAGTAGGGCAATCGGTTCGCCGTGTCGTTGCTCTCAACCTCTCTGCTATCCGCTCACTGCTCAGCAAGACCTGGGGATTTTCGCTGATGGTTGATGGCGTAACGCACCACAAAGAAGGATACCTGGACGTGCGTGTGTCGTTTGGCCTCGTGGGTAAAATTCACAACATCCACCTCCTCGCCATCCCCATTGGCGATAGCGCCCACACAGGCGAGAACTATGCTGAGCTTGTCATTAATCTACTAGAGCACATCGGTGAAACCAACCTGCTCCCTCAACTGATCGGTGTCTCGACGGACGGAGCTGCGACGATGCTAGGCCGCCACCAGGGATTCTCGACGCGACTTCGTGCTGCTGCTGAATGTGGTATCGCAGTACACACAAAATCGTCAGTTGTGGTAACTTGGCTACAAACACAACAATAGCCGAGCTGGTCGGCTTTGTTGGCCTGCACCGGGTTGCCCCCGAGCGGTTCGGCCCAACCGGGACAGCGGGTGTCTCGCCTCTCGCCGAGACCTGCCAACCAAGATCACTCCTCCGGAGAACCGCCGAGTTCGACGGCCTCCGTTCGCTCAACCCTGTGCCCTCCACCAAAGGATGGACGACGGCGCACGGAGCGCTTTTACAGGTCGCCGAGAGCAAAGGCTTCTCGACTCAGCAATCAGTGCCCGGGACGTACGGGAACACTGGCTCGCAGCGGTGGCGAGACTTTCCTTCGCGCTTGGCGAGACTCGCGCCCAACCCGGGCCGACCTTAATCTCTTGGCGCTGCCAGCCGAGTACCCTACAAGCTATGCCTCTCGGGTACCGGCAGCAGACATAATCCGGCCCCGTGCAGGGACTTACCGGAACGTGTACACGTGCTTTAGGCCTAGAAAATACTGCTCTGTTGTTTGTTATCTCTGTCGGGCGCCCTGAAGGGGCACCTCCACTATTCCTAAGCTCCTATACAAATACCAAATGGAAGTGGTCGGTTTTGGATCTCGGCCGACTCTTCGCTGAGCTCGGCGACGCCTGAGCTCGGCTGGTCCGGATGAGCTATCCGGACAATTCTTCGAACTCGGCTGAGCCGGATAAGGTGTCCGGATAAGCTGGTGAACTCGGCTGAGCTCGGCTGAGCTCGGCTACCGGTACAGTGTACCACTCCAGCCGAGTTGGTCGCGCGAAATCTGGTGTTTCCTACACCACAACTGCCCCGGTCATGTTCCGAGCCGAGTTGGTGAGGGACCTGACCATCACTCCTTGAGTCGAGTCCAATCTCGGCCAAAACTCCAACGGCAGCGCACAAGTCTCCACGCCATGTCGTCGTCCGGCGCTCCTGCCGCTCCTCCGGTACGTTCCTCGCCTCCAACGGCTCCATCCATTCTGCTGCTGACCCTTCTTCTACTGATCTTCACAGACTTCAGTTGCGTCGTCTTTGCAGTCTTCACATCTTCCCGCGCGAGATGAGGGGAAGTTCGCTGAGTTGGTCGACTCGGCGTCCCGGGCTCGCGGGGTCAGCGATGAGCAGGAGCACCCTGTCATCGATCTGACAACTTCCCGTGGGTTCGACCGGGAGTCCGAGCCGGCATCTCGCACTTCTCCTCGCCGCTTGCCGAGTCCGCGTGGCGACACCACTTCGGAAGCCGCCGACCTTGGTCGGTCGGACTCGGCTGGGCCGGTGAGTCTCGACTCTCGCTGCGCTGATCCATGCGCAGTCCGAGCAACGCCGCATCGAGAACGCGGACTTGGCTCGGCTGTTGTCATTCGTGATCACTCGTCCCGCGCCGGCGGCTGATAGAGAGGTCCGCCGAGCTGCCCTCGAGGCGACGTCCGTCAGCGAACTCGTGAGCCTCCTTCGCGGTTAGCACCAACCTTCAAGTCAAGCTAGTGACGTCGCTGCACTGAGGGTCGAGCTGGAGTCTGCTCGGACTATTAACGCTGACTTGACTCGGCGGCTGGATTCACAGGCGACTGTGAAGGCCGACCTCGAGGAACGGTTGAAGACTATCGAGGAGGAGCGTGACCGATGGAAAGCCGAGTCGAAGAAGTCGTCCCCTCTCCTGACCAGCTTCCGGAAGGCGATGGCCGAGTCTGAAGCTTCCTTGAAGTCGGCCCGCAAGTCTCAGGATGATAAAGTGAAGTCGGCTCTCGCTCACGCTAAGGATCTCGGCAGGCAGCTCAGGGAACGCGACTCGGCGATTGAGCGTTTGACTCAGCTTCTTTCGGCTCGTGACGCCGAGTACGCTGTGCTCCAGGGGATCTCGACCAAGCACTTCGAGCAACTGCAGGAGTCGTCTCGGCTACTCATTTATGGAGACGCCCAGACTCTCCGTGATGCCAAGGCTACCATCAAACACCAGCGTGAGGTCATCCTCCGACAGAAGCGTGTCATTTCTCGCATGGGTCTTTTACCCATGCATGATCCTCACATGGCTGCTGCAGCTGCAGCCGGGTTGGACGTGCCTGGGTTGAGCCCTGCTGACTTGCAGCTTAATGCTCGGTTATGCCGGATCTTGGCTCAACGTTTCCCGGAGGTTATGGACATCCCGGCTGGAGAGACTCGTCGAGTCGAGTTGACCATCCACCCGCGAGCGGACGGCGCTGCTACTACTCTGCCAGCGACCGTGAGCTCGGCTGGTTCTTTCCTTGGACAATCAACCCGGCTGACTGGGTCTGAGGCTCCGGCCCCTCTAAGCGAGTCTCCCGCATCATCTGCCGCCAATCCTGTGTCGGCTGGTGCGGTTTGTATGCCCGTGTCCACTTCTGCTTCGCGCCGTCGCCGCTGCAAGTCGGTCGACCAGGTTCACCGAGCTCGGCTGGATACTCTGACACCCGCCGAAAAATTACTTCGCTACTCAAACCCGAAGTCAGCGACGGCGGCTGGTTCTCAGCGCAAGCCCAAGAAGCCACTCGAGCAGCCGTACGCGTGTCCACTTCCTGGTGAGGTCGGCCATGAGGACGCGTTGGTCCAGCTTGAAAAGGCTGCCCAAGAGACTGACGCCGCATGCGACCTATCGCTCCGGTCGAGCTTGAACTTAGCCGGGTTGACTTTCGACGATGTGAATGTGGAGGCCGGCGACGAGGTTCACTCGCTGGAAGAGGACCTCTCGTTCGAGTTCACCGAAGTGCCTGGTTCCGCCGAGCTTCCGAGGGGGCCCGCCGGCCCGACCGTGAGTGTGCCGCCCGTGCAACTCGTGCCTTACTCTTCCTCCCCGGTGCAGACGCCTTCAAGCGGAGTGGCAGTTGTATCGTTGCCTGGATCTGCTGACCTTGCTGCAACTCCGTCCGCTTTTTCGCTTCCTGCCTCGGTTCCGTTCCCGACTCGTGTCCGGTGGGTTCCTCCCTCGACCAGCGTGCCGAGCGCGGCTGTGGTGACATCAACTGTCGGCGCCGGAGGACAACCGGGTTCCTCTGCTACCGATCCGGCGCTTGCTACAACGCATGCTGTGATTGCGCCGAGCTCGACGGCTGGAGTCTCGGCTGCGAGTACAATTAACAGCTCCGCTGCGATTCCGCCTCGGGTTTCGCAGTCTTCTCCGGGTTCGGCCGCTCACCGGCTCTTGGAATGTACTCGTTCCCGGTTTGCCAATCAAGCCCAGAGTCGTCGTGGCCCGTCAGGGGTGGCATCGACTGTAGTCACCCCAATGCCGAGCACTCCGTCGGTGGCCTCGACCCGGCCAGCTGTTCCTCCTAGCTCAGCTGGGATGACTTCTCCATCGGGTCGCCCTTTACGCTCCACTGCGGCTACTGCCCGAGTGTTGAACGCTCACTGCTTGAATCTGTTAGAGACGCCTGACTCTCTCGTCCTCCGGTCCGCTCAGCGTAGCTCTTCCTCTGGTTCGTCGGGCTCGGCTCTTGGATTGAATGCTCCTGGAACCTCAGCACATCCGTTGTCTTTGTCCGAGAGCTCAGAATCTGAGGCTGACGACCCTGGATCTGCTGACGATCCTGGATCTGCTGACGAGCTCAGTTCGGCCGACCCTGGCGCATCTCGCCGGGCTTCGTTAGCTTCTGCGCTCCCACCTCCGCACGGGAAGATCCAGAGCTACATGGCTGCTCGTCAATCGCCTCTCGTTCCGTCCAGCGAGTCAGGTGACTCAGACTCACAGGCGAGTTCCAAGAAGCAGAGCGGTAAGGGCAAGCACAAGCGGAGGCGCAAGCACAAGCTCAAGCACAAGCACGAGCACAAGCACAAGCACAAACACAAGTTGAACTCGAAGTCGAAGTAGGCAGGGTCAAAGAAGTCGAAGAGGTCTGCGTCTCTGGACTCGGCTAAGGGCCCTCGCCCGTCCAAGCGTCAGCGAGGTTCGGCTGGGGACTCGGCCGTCGGTCCGGCTGAGGTTTCTGCCGCTTCCAGCTCGACTAACAAACCGGCTGGGAGCTCTGGCATCCCATCGAGCTCGGCTGTTTCGCCGTCGCCTATTTCTGCTGGTCCAGCTTCAACCCTGTCGGTGCCTGTCGTGACCGCTCATGACGCTGGCGCCCACGTTCTCCCTCAGTTGCCTGCAGCTCTACGCTATTCGCTCGCTCAGCTGCGCACTCGAGCTCGCCAGGCGGTCGGCCGAGATGCCCGGATCACTCCCCAGCTAGCTCAGCTGCGTGACATCCGCTTCGTTCATTACGGGTCTCGGCGGTGCTGGGAGGCTATCCTCAGCCATCAAACGGCCAAGGTCACTGTGGATGGCGCGTCGGGGAAGGGTAGTGTGCCGGTTACGCTCTGTTCCCTCGCTGGGATTAAAGCGTTCGCGGACGTCTACCATCCGGATCACCCGGCTCAGCGGCTCCTTCGTCTGCTTCCCAAGACTCCTATCTTCTTCTCCCCTCAAGTCCTCGACGATGCCAAGCGCCGGTTGACGAACTCGGTGAAGTCGGTGACCTTGATGGAGCGTCTCACCGAAGTGTTCGTGAAGATCCGCGGAGAGGCTCCGAACTCGGTTTGTGACAAAGAGGGTCCTACCAAGTTCTTCGTAGCACTGTTCGAGCGGTGTCACTGGATGGTCGAGTCGAGTGTACTGATGGGGCTACATCCGGCTTTTCACACGGGGCTCCCGTATCACGTGATAGCCGAGATGTATGACACGTGGGTGTTGTACAAGTTGGCTCGCAAGCGTCGAGGCGATGCCCTCCGAAGTCTCATGACTATCCTGCCGGACGACCTGTTCACTGCAGTGATGACACTTCTCGGCGGGCTTGCTGCCCCGGAAATCAACGTGGAGCTCTTCTTCGAGCCGTCGGTCCCGTTGTATCCGCTGGTCAATCTTGCTTGGATTCCTGCGGGCAGAGACTGGTGGGCTGAAGCCGAGTCTATAGACGACTCCGAGCCTTGGCGAGCTTGGTGGTTGACCGACCCAGCGACGCACCCGTACAACACCTGCTTCCGGATGCGTGACTTGGAATTCATGGTTTTCGCTCCCGCTGGTGTGGATCCGCGCCTAGTCGAGGATGCTGTCGATGAAGATGTGGACCTCGACGAGCCTGCGCCTCCCCAGATTTCGTCAAGTGCTCCGACTCCGGTAAACCGTGCAGGAATCCACATCTTCCAAGGTTGCAAAGCTGGTGAGCTCGGCTGGGCTGCTGGCTATGCGGATCCGGCGTCTCCGTTGATCGGGTCGCCTAACGTGTGCGACCCTTCTCCCACGACTTACCTCTTTGGTCCGGCGTCACCTGGGTCTCCAGATGAGTTGAGCGCAGGATCGAGTGTCCCTCTGGCTAACAACTCGGCTATTCCGGCTTCAAGCTCAGCGGACTCGCTGTGCAGACTGCGGGAGTAGCGGAT